ATCACCAAAAAAGATTGAACTAGAAAAAGAATCAATTGAATTTTTGAGAATAATTTTATACTAGAAAGGTTTAAAATTACAAGAACATATTTTGTCCAAAGTACGAGATTTTCCTGATACTCTTAAAAATATAACACAATTACAGAGTTTATTACGTATTTTAAATTAAGGACGAAATTTTATCAAAAATCTTTCAAAAATAGAAATTCCTTGGTTAACTAAATTAAAGAAAAATGTTATTTTTGAATGGACAACAGAAGATGTTGCTTTAATTAAACAAATTAAAGAAAATGTTAAAAATTTACCCGATGTTTATCTTCCTAAAACATGTGATAAATTAATTTTAGAAATAGATGCCTCAAAAGCATGCTGGGGATGTGTTCTTAAAGCAATATCAAGTAATTTATGGCATGATAAAGAGAGACCTTTATCAGAAAATGGGATTAGACCAAGAAAAAATCCAATACCCATAAAATTACAAAAAGAATAATTAATTTGTAGATATAATTCTGGAACATTTAAACCAAATGAACAGAAATATATTATTTTTGAAAAAGAATTACTTGCAATAAAATTGGTAATAAAAAGTTTTCATATTTATTTAGTCTCAGAAAATTTTATTGTACGTACTGATAATAAGGCAGTAAGAGATTTTTTTCATCAATAAAAAACCTATTGAACAAGGAAGAAGATTAGCCTAGTATAATAAAATTTTTGAATATACTTTTGAGGTAGAACATCTTAAAGGTACTAACAATTTTCTTACAAATTTTCTTAGTAGGAATTGTTTTAGAAAATTAAATTACTAAGTAAGTAATTTTAATTTTTGCAAAAGATCTCTAGACCAAGAGGAAACAATGGACAAGGGTAAACAACCCGTTCAAGGAGATTGGGTAAGAATTGCTAAAAAAAAATTCCCGAACAAGAAAAAGTTTATGTTGTGTTTGCAGGAAGACAACCTGGAATTTACACAGAATGGAATGATTGCAATACTCAAGTTTGAGGATTCCCAAGAGCAAGCTATAAAGCATATGATAGCATGATCAAAGCTAAAAAAGCTTTTTACAATGCACCAGCTATGCCTGTTTATCAAAATAATTTTTGTCAAATGAGAACTAACCTAGTTCCAACTAATATTCAGACATCTAAACCAGTTGAATCCGAAATAAAAGACTTTTTCAACCCTGGTATATCTAAAAAAATTTATACAGAACTCAATGGAGTTTGGAAAACTCACATTGTAGACAACAAAGTGAAATTTCAAAAATACATGAGAGTTCTGGCCAACAAATTAGTTAAGCAAACAGCTAAATTAAAAGATTTGCAAAATCTTTGTTTCAATATCCTTAAACAAAAGAATTGGAATGAAGATTTTAATTTTAAAAAAATAAACAATTTTCTGCAGCTATCAGATCTCATATCAGATGAGTTTTCTAATCCAGTTTTTGAACAAATAAAAAGAATTTGTCTTTTTGAAAAAGCAAGAACTTTGCTCCCAAAAGAAATTTTTTTCTGTTAATCAAAAATCGAGTTGAGGATCATCGTGATAAGATTAAACAAATCTTAGAACGATCTTATGATAAATTAAATTTTAAAGATGGAATTCTCAAAATAACCATCTTGGCAAATCATGACATGTGGTATTTTAAATATATAGATTGGGGAATAACTAATCAAGTTATTTTCTAAATTTTAGATCCAATCCAATGGATAGAATATCCAATGATCATCAAAGCAATGCTCTCATGGGTAGTAAAAGGCTTCCGATGGAGCAAATATTTTATTTTCTGGATCTCCAGCACCGTTGGTTGGCAGGAATGAAAACATTTTTTCCAACCATACCAAATTTGATATCTTAAAGAAACTGAAGATTTTGAATTTGAAGATGATTATTTAGATGAAGATCGCCGGAAAGAGCAATTGAAAAATATTCAAGAACTTTCTTTGACAGAATATTGGATAGACAGTCTGATATATGTTTTATAGGCAGCGTCCAATATCCATGGCTCAACAAAATTGCCATTCATGGTCACAGATGGTAAAATACTATTTGTAACCCATTTTCCTATAACATATCAAAGGTCTCCTACACAAATTGATGAGACTCTTGACATGTTATTCAATATGAAAAAGAGAAATAATTTGAATCTTCCGTTGGAAATAGCTATGACCGCGGATGATGTAGAACAATTTCTGAATGAGCAATACAATCAGGATCCTAATTCCCCTTTATCAGAGACTGATGAAGAATATCACAATCTCATCAACAGGATGGAAGCATAGTGGACCCCACTATCAAATGCAGTTGTCTCCTAATCGACTCCAACCTTATCCAGAACATGTGGAGCAACCTGCATTATTAGGCGAAAAGTGGTCAGCCAAATCTTTTTAGCCAACGCTACATGACAAATCAACTCAGCCAAAGCTCATCTATAACAGTCTATCTCTTTGAAAATCGGGGAGAGTAGACAGTGTATATAATTGTAGAAACTGTAGAGATTGTCAGAATTTGGCAAATAATTATAGTTTTGCATTTAGACTTTTTTGTCTTTCTCTCTCCTCGTATTTATTTTTATGAAGACATTTTGAAAAAACCTATACATAGGATTGTAGACTTTGCAAAGTTTTGGCCGTGTTAGTGTGGTGCTTTTCAACAAAGTAGATATGTAATAATGGTAGGATGACTTTTGGATTTTGTTTGTATATACAACATGTAGTCTATAAATTGGCTTTCTAGCCAACATAATAAACAATGTAAATTCTCTTCATCTTTGACTGCTTACTTCGTCTCTAACTTCTAACTTCTCTAAACACCATAACTCCATTATAATTGGAGAGAATCCCACCCCTATCCTAATAATTCCTTTATCCATTTTGGTTGAGTATGTATTTTTTTCATACAGTACTGTCCCATAATTAATGAAGTGATCCGACAAAAAAAAAAATGCAAAATTAACCAATTGGGATATTGTGTTGTGTTCATACTGTTTGAACAAATTCACACTCCCATTAGGTCCAACAACTTCAACTTTTGCTCTTACAAATCACCAAAATCCTACCTATAGGTATCGACAACAAGCTTTCCAGCTCTAAAAAATGTGTCCCACATATGCATGAGTTCCAGATTTAAAAATGAAAAATTAGTGAGATTCTTCCCAACCACTATTGAAATGAGGTTATTATCTAATCATTGAATATCTTTCCATCTCTGTCTCTAAAAGAGAAACAAAAAGAGAGGGGTGAGATGTTGTAAATCTTACAACCCTATTTCTTAAGTTTCATATTTTACTTTGATTTGATGATATGTCTTAATCTAAAAAATTATTAAGTAGTTGAGAAAAGCAGTGCCAGAAATTTTTAAAACTCACTTCTAAATTTACTTGTATTAATATAGGATGAGGTTAGATATTAGTTGATTCATTTTTAAACAAATCAGTTACTCACATGTAAAAGTTCACATCATTGTAAGTATTACGCGTGACAGTTTAATAATCTTAACTATTTTTCAACTCAGAATTAATACGTTATTTTTGTTTTAATCATTTATGTTCAACTACCTAAAATAAAATAAAACTTAAGGTTGTACAGACCTAAGAGACACCTCATTGGAAATGTGAAAAATACGACCTAACTTCACATTTTATTCAAGTTGGTCAATCATAACTAATCGGAATAATAATAATAATAATAATAATTCATGACTATGACTATGTAATTTTTATTTTATTTATTTTTCATTTGTAATGAAGACAATGCAAAAAATGTGTCATATATATACTAGAGAGAGAGAGAGAGAGAGCCCATTGCCGTGTGGTCCTCTATTTTACCACTCCTTCAATTCACACCCGTGTCTTAGTTTTGACGCTCATGGTGTTCACAATTGAATTGAAAAGTAAGAAAGTGAAACCTTTGTCCACACTTGTTAACAATTTTGAATTTTAGTTCTGACTGACATAGGGTTTGATATAGCTATGTTGAATTTGACATTACTAATGATTCATATCTATATATCTATATCCATGTTGAATTTGTCCACATTTTTAATATGGTCTCCTTCTGCATGTCCTTATAAAATTCTAGATACACTCTCTAGGACACTATTTAAGCATGGCCACATACTTGGACCCAATTTGATATAGAGAAAAGGGGTCAAGGGAATTAACTTCAATGGATTGATTGAAGAATAAGATTTAATATCTTGAATTAGAATCACTTGAAGAAGTCACTTTAGATTTACCAACATGCAAGTTAGACCGAACACTTAATTATCAAAAACATTAAAATTATTAGTCTTGTAGTACATTTGTTTTAGGTCTCTTATAACATGTTTGTTTTGCTAGATCATGAGCAAAAATACTTTTTTTAATGAAAATGCTAGTAATTTTACATTTATAAAATTAGTCACATCATTTATTATAATGAATAAATAAGTGTTTGCTCTTATATTATTATAAAATAATTATAATCAAACACAATATAAGTACAACAAATCTCATAATATATAATTTCATGAGTCTTACATAGCACTAATTCCAACCTTAATCACACATGATATTACCAACTCTCAAATTAGGCCTCAAATGTAACGATGTCCAGAGCAATACTCGAATATAATGCTTTATCTCAAATTGTATAATCTATAGATTTTGGATAATTATAATTCTCACATTTTTATTATTTTGATCAAAGGCACCAAAAATAATATTGTGAAATATATTCAACTTTCTATGCTTAATTTTCTATTTAAATAATGATTTTATTTACTTTTTTAGGTGCAATGATTTTATTTACTGAACAACTTGCTAAGTGGACATTAATATTGTGTTTAATTTGAGGATTTAAAAAGGAATTTAGAAATGAAAAGAAAAAATATATATAAAATTACGTGAAATGAAAGTATATTTTATTTTTATTTTACTGTTTTTTCTTTTCTTTTCAAATACCTTTTTAAATCTTTTAACCAAACACAGCGTGAAAGAACATTGATCCAAGCCACCAAATGCAAAGAATAATCATAAGTTTTTTTTTTTTCTTTTATTAGAAATTACCAGAAGTGAAGAAATAAACAATTATTTACAGATTAATGAACTTTCGTAAAATTATTTCCGGACAGTTTTGCCCTTTATACAACACACTACACAACACCGCCTCACTTTGCCTCATCACGACAGTGAATAACCTCCCATTGCACGGAATCGTCAACTACCTCATCCGAGACAATAACGGCGTCAGCATCCCACCAAGTATCTCCCTCAGATTCCGTCAGATCCTCTAACGGCAACTTAACCTTCCTCATATCACCCACCGTCAACGTGCCGGACACGTCATCTCCGACATAAAACTTCTCTCCGCCGCCGCCGGAATTGATACGCACCACCGTCCCCCTCCGCGGAGACCAGTCGGCGTACATCGCCGGAATCTGACTTCCGATCCTCGTATCAAAAACCCCCAAGAAAATATTGTCGTTGTTCTTCGATCCAGTCGAGAAAATCACCGCTGGCGATTGCGACGACGTAGAGATCGCCGAAATCCGAGATCTCTCGCCGGAAAGCGATCTTATTTTCCGATCTTCGTTCAAATCCCAAAGCGAAACCACACTCTCAGAAAATTCTTCATCGAAATCTAACCCTAACCCTAGATTGTCCCAGAGCTTCACAACGCTCTTGCCGCTAGTGAAGTCAGACCACGAGAACCGATCCCCGCCGAGGCTGCGCCGCCGCCGGAGCTTCCGTCTAACGCCGCTGTAACAGCTCGAACCCGCGACGCGAAAATCTTCGTCGATTGGGTGGCGATCTTGAGAGGACGTGGTGGGCTCGTCGTCGTCCGATGAATCAGAAGAAGTGGAATCGTCTTCATCGGAGTCGAATACGTGGTCGATGTGTTGTGTAAGAGGTCCTGAGGAAGCTAACAAATTGAATTTACAAAATCTAACGATTGATAGCTTGATTCGGGTGATTATGCCGCCGAAAGTAGCGACAAGTGCGAGAATCAAAGCACCCCATTTCCAGAAACTGTAGACTTGAGGCACTTTCCCAGTACCCGAATGCGAGAAATTTCGAGAAAATAGAGATGGGTTTTGTAGATTGATGATGTTGAGCTCTTGAATCTCCATACTATTGCTCAAACAATCCTTGAATAAAATTCAGAGACCACTATGTTAGATTGAAGAATATAGGGTGGCAAAGGTTTTTTTTGGTTGGTGAGAATGGTTGTGAATTGGGAGAGAGATTTGAGAAGGTTGGTTGGGTTTTATAATAGTGGGGGAGGGGATGATGATGATGTGTATAATAATAAAACGAAATTTTTAAAAAAAATAAAATCAGAGTTTAACCATTCATAATAAAATATTTTTTAGATTTTTTAATTTTAATTTAAGTTATTCATCTATTAAGTAAAATAAATTAAAAATAAAATATTTTAACTATTAAACATTATATAAGTGTACATAAAATGTTTACACTACCCAATTTTTATTGAATTTAATAATAAAAATAACAAAAATTTTTTATTAATTTCACTTCATGAAAATAATTAAAAGTAAAAAAATTCAAAATTAAATTGGTAAAATTAAAATTTTGTTTTGTTAGTCAAATTCTGAAATATTTTTTTTTTGTATTTTTGCGTAATATTAAAGTGCTGAGATCCATATCTAAAAATAAAAATAAAAAACGTGCTGAGTGTGACGTGGCAGAGGGTTAGCGGATGGGGAGAGAGAGTTTTGATGGTCCACGTCAGAAAAGGTCGGAAAGTTTTGTGGGAGTTGGAAAGAGATTGGGATGAGGGAGTCAGCAGGAGAGGAGAGTGTAATCATAGGATGTGTCATTGATGAGTCATAGTGTCAGAGGTAGAAGATCTGGACCGCTAATTACATCATCATAGGGATTCACGTAACTACTCAGAATTTGTGGTAGTTGAGTTTCTGACGGTCTACCACTACAATGTTGACACGCGGTTTCTGTTTGTGGAGGCACAATTTTTTATCTGTGGTGGCGGTGTCGCTTTTTTGCACTATAATTCTTGGTCCAAGCAATAGAATAGTGTTGGAGACTTGAGTGGGTCATACAAAAACAAATTTTTATTTTCAAAAAGAAAAATGATTAGTGATCTAGATTTGTGTAATTTGAATGGTTTAAATGTATTAAAATGACGTTATTTTATTTTTAAAATGATATTATTTTAATATATTTAAGTCATGAATTTTCGAACCATCAAGCATTACTATTTCAAAAATATTAGAGATCTTAAAATCTTATAAAATTTTTTATCAAATGTCTTATATCAATATAGGACTTACATTGAACCCACATGATATAAGTCTTACACTTGAGACATTGGGTAGAAATTTTTATAAAATTTTTGAAGTCTCTACATTCCTCTTTTATTTTTTATTTCTTTTTGGAAATACAAAAACAGTGAAATTGTTCACAGTTGAATTTCTTGCGGGGCACAATTTCGTTTTTTTTTTTTTTAATTTCGTTTTTTTTTTTTTTTTTTTTGGTGTTGTTGCTTACACTAATTTGTAGATGGTTGGCATCAATTTAATGTTTTTTTGAAGGGTAAATTACCTTGACATTCCTGAGATTTAGCTCAATTATATCTCATTCTCTAACATTCTTGAAATTACATTCTCACTCCTATGACTAATAGTCTCATTTTATAAATTCTCTGCGTATATAAAGGGTAACAACTCTTAATAGAAAAACAGAAAAAATTACATTGAAAAAAAAAGTAAAGCAAAATAAATAAAAAATTTATATATAAATAAAAGAAGTAAAGCAAAGCAAGAAAAGAGAGAGTGCATAAATTCATATTTTCATTCCGTCTAAAAAATTAATATGACAAGAGGTTAGTATAATTTTCCAAATGTCAGGGGTGATATATATTAAATTCAAACCTCAGGGGCTTTAAGTGTAATTTATCCTTTTTTGAATTTTCCTTACTTTCATTAGTTTTTTAAAAATTGTGTCAAAAATTTTACTTTTTTAAATTGTTTTGTGTAGATCAATCTAAAAAGTAAAAATAAAAAAACAAAGGCCATGTTTGGTTTGTATTTATGAAATAATTTTGAAAAATAATTTTCTAAAAAGAGCTTACAAAACTTCAAATTTATTTTTTATTTTTTATACAGGAACTTCAAATTTATTTGGATGCATGTTTTGAGAATAGTTTTGTAGTTGAATAGATGAGGTATGAAAGAAAAATGATTGATTGATGTGTAGGATGTGAGAGAAAAAGATGGGAGAAAAAAAAATGATTGATTGATATGTAATAGAGAAAAAAGTGATTGAAAAAAAAAATTTCAAAAATTTTTAACCAAACAAATTTTAGAGAATTTTTTTCTCAAAAATTTGTATCTCTAGGTGCAAACGAACAAGGAGAAAAAAAAAATTCAAAAAGAAGCATAAAACCATAAAAAAATAAGCCCCCAAAAAAACCGATTGCTTTGATTTTTTTTTTTTTTTTGGTCTTTTGTGAACTTTTTTCAAATTTTTTAAATTTTTTATACTTTTTTTCTCGATCCATCTGGTTGAGTAAAACTCAAAAGCCAAAAAAAAGAGTTCAATTAAAAAAATAACTAAATATGAAAAAAATGACCCCCCAAAAAAAAAAATCTCAAACACTCGCTTTCATTAAAGCACTTTTTTAAAGAGTTATGATTAGAGTATTTCCAACGCGTACTGTCTGTCTTTTTTTTCATCAAATTTTAATAAAGATTTGTGTTAAAATTTTCATCTAATTCCAGAGATTGCAACACTATATTTTCAATTTTCATTGAACAATCACCCGGCCGGGAGGACAGCCAGGAGGATGTCAAAGTAGTCAACAGACAATGGGCAACTTTGCAAGTAACTGGTTGTCCAAGAGGACAATCAGCCTGACAACCAGCTAATCGTCCATTGTACAATGAAGCACAACAACTCTCTCCAAAAATTTGATGAACGCTGAAACCTCTCTCAATTTAATGAAACTTTTGATTTTCTCCTCATTTGATATAGGCTAATTTGATGCTAGGATTGGAAGAAAAAAAGTAAACGTATTTTATCAAATTTAAATTTGATTCTAAATCTAAATAAGAATTGAAGACACTCTTAATCAGTCTTGAGTGGGTCACCCAAACACATTTTTAATTTTTTAATCAAGGAATCATAAAAACAATAAGAGTGTTCAATCAGTGGTAGGAATAGGATTTGAAAATTTTAGAATAAATAATTAAGAGTTGTATCAGAATCACTACACACGTCACTCAATTATTAAAGATGGATTATTATCTTCTACAAAATTTTACAAGATTTTAGAAGTGTAGGTTCCCTTGTATATTTGGTAATTTAAAATTGTTATTAAACTTAAAATTCTTCTTCTAATGATTGTATAAAATAAAAATAAAAAAATCACCCTACAATTCAATTTTCTACCACTTTTTTGGAATTTCCTATTTCCCTCTCCTCTTTTTACTAAATATACCTTAATTTTGTCTATATTGTGTAAATTTGGCACAAATAATATAATTTACATTCTTGTGAGATGAAAAAAGAGAAGTGTAAAGGTTTAGGTGAATGGCTTTATTTATTCATTATTGCGTTAAATTCATTTTATCCTTTTGTAGTTTGGGGTTAGACCACTTTACCTTTTTATCATTCAAATATAGCAAGAAAGCCTACATATGATTTTGGACTAAAATGCTACTGTTAGTTTTTTCATCCAAACTAACGAAAGGTGTATTACATATATAATTTCTTAAAGAAGGTTTTGTTTTCTAAAAATTAGAATGAAATTAATATAATAAAAGGACAATTTTATCCCTATTTTCTCCATGCCTAAAATTAGATTAATACGTTAATTAAAATAAAATAAAATAAAATTAATAATTGATCTAAAACACAAAATATAATTAAAAGTTGATTTAAAATATAAAATAAACAATAATTAAGATTTGACCTAAAATGTAATTAAATTGAAATTTGATTAACATATTAAAAATTATAATAAACAATTAAAATTTTATCATTAATTGTGATTTAAAATATAATTAAATTAAAATTAGAATACAAATTTAAGAATTAAAATAAATAATTTTTTTATAATTAAATAATTACAATAAAATATAATTAAATAATTGTGATTTGATTGAATTAATACTAGATATTATAAATTATGATAAATTGCAAATACAGACCATGAGGTTTGCTTAAAGTATATATTGCCCTTTGTGGTTTGGAAAATTACAAATAATCCCTTATTAGAATTTTTTATTTAATAGAATTAATTAAAAAAATGAAATCCATAATTGCTCTCCTATACAATAATAAATTTACTTAAATTATTAATTGAAATATATTTATAATATTATTAAAAACTGTTAATTGACTTCATGATTTATTAATAAAAGTGGCGATTTGTTATGAAATTAGAAATCTCAAGGGTTTATTTGTAATTTACCCTATAAATTATGCGTATTAGAGATGAGAGAGAATGAAAGGAACAATTATAGTCATTTCACATGTACAGTTAACAGTGTTAACGGTTGTATTTTAGTCCAAAATCATATGAGACATATAATTATTTTTAAAAGATAAAGAGGGTACATTGCTATCAAACCATACCACATGGAACTAAAGTAAATTTTGCCATTTATTATTTTATTTTATTTTTATGATAGAGGAATGAAGTTTAGATAGTTGACAAATGTGTATTGGTGGGTCTACAATTAAGGTAGAAATTTGTAACGTGTTTAGGGGTGGGTAACGATTTATCCGAACCGTTTAAATCGCTTAACCCGTCTAATCAGCATATAAATGGGTGGTTTCGCAAACATAATGCGGGCGGATGCGGTTTGAAATATGACAAATTTACGGATTGCGGATGGGTCGCGGGTTAAACACGCAACCCGCAAAAACTGCCCGCATTTTAATTATTATTATTTTTTATATACCAACTTTGTAACTTTAACAAGAGTATCATTATGTTCTCTATGACACTCTGATCCTTATTTTTAAGTATTTCTCAACGTTCTTAATGCCGTAGAATTATCAAGTCCTAAATTTAGTTTCTTATATGATTTTCGTTGGTGACTCATCCATTTTTTCCTAATAAAATTTTCCTTCTGGTAGTCGATGGAACTTTTAGTTTGATTATTGATTACTGAACTGACAATTCTAATTGAGTACAACCTTTAATGTATTGATATACATTTTTTAATGCATTGATAAACATTTTTTTCATGGCAAAA